GGGGGCCATAGACTGTGTCTGCAATGTCTAGAAAGCGGTAACGATACAGACCGGCTTCTGAGGGTGTGAAGTCAAGTTGAGCGCGAAGACCATCAATGGTATGTGCTCTGCTTTCAACGCCTTTCGCATGTTCGATGACGTACCTAAGCCGGAACGGCGGAGATCCAGTCAAATCCAAGTCAACAAGTAGACCGACAGGATTATTAGCACATTTGTCGAAAACTCTTTCATACTTGACGGTCATGTCAGGCTCCGGTGGATTGCGTAGGTAACAGGATGAAGGCTCAAGCACTTCTCCGGTACAATATTGACTGGAAAGTGAATTCAGCCTGTACCAACCCGGGTCCTTGATCTGAGGCTTCTGGTCAAGATTCCTCAGAGATGCCTGACGTATTTTGCTTGGAGACTCTCCATGACCCAACTGAGTCTCACCATTGAATGTGTAGACCAGAGAGAAGGGCCCGTCGTTCTCGTATCCTTGTCCTGACTGATGATATTTAAGGGGAAGGTCCACGCTTGCCCCATGTGCGACTTCAAGAAAACTTTGATCATTGCAGCCGGACAAGGAAAGTCGAGGCCTTTCATGAACAGAGAATTCATGCCACTGCGATGGGGAATTTGTAGATAGTCGGTCGGCGATATCCAAAAGCATTGAATAATTCGCGATGTTCCCAGAACCGTCATGGACTTCCTCGATCGTATATGTCCATTCGCCGCCAACGTTAAGAGACTCGTTCAGAGGGACCTCAATGGTTTGGCTGCGGGCCCAAGTCACGTCGAAGTCTTTCGTGTTGAAGAGAGTGCCGCTTGTCCGCTGGCCTAATAATGGCGAACGCAGATGATCCGGCTGAATGTTCTGGAAAGAGAAGCCCCGGTCATGACTGTTGACCTGCCTGCTGTATTTGATTTTGAGGGGAGGAGTGCCCTCTACCACCAAAAGCAGGTTCGAAAGCTCTCCTCGACATTTGTGGATCGGGGAATCCTTGATTGTTGCCCGAGGGCACGAGGCAACGAGAGCGTCAGATGATCTCATATGAACGTCGAGATTTGACTCATCTACTACTCTTTGCAGCCGATATATTCCGGGTCGCTTGACAGAGAACATGAGATCACGATGGAGATTGGACCCCGTTTTCGGCACAGATTTTTCTGCTTGGCGCTTCATCTGTTTCAGCTGCTTTGCTGATATTGAGATGGTTTCATTGCCACCGGTGTCATAATCCAGGCGTAACAGCTCTATCAAGATTGGATCGGTCTGGTTAACACGTATAGGTAGATCGATAGCAGTTTTGTGATTATCGATACAGAGAGGTATGTGATCAGGATTTAACATTGCAGAGCTGGCATAGTGCGGTTAGTAGAGCTCGAAGTCACCTCAGATTCAGAGACTCACCCCTCCGGTAGTATATGAACGATTTGCTTGCCCAATATAAGAGACGCGTTGTGGATAATGTCGCCGGGTTTGACACTCCGTTCTGATATAGACAATTCCCTATCATAAGCTAGTTTGATTGCCCCCGAAACCCAAGCACCCACAGGAATCTACAAGAATGTCAGTAAAGGCCCTGTTGTGCGGGGCGTGAGGTCAAAAGCATACAGGGATTTGAAACATGAGAAAAATGTTTCCAGCAACATGAATCAAGAAGATCGCTAGTGTTGTAGGGAAAGCCCATTCTAACCAGGGAATTCGTAGCGCCTGCAAGCCGAAAAGGAAGACGCCATCGACGGCTGCCCATTTGAGAAACAGCCAGGTCGAATCTAGATCGTCAGATGCAGTCCAGGACTCGTACACGCGCCAAGTATTGAGGGCCAGGTAGAAAGCCGCAACGTAAAGTCGCTGCGACGGGGCGTCGATGACATTAGCCGGTATTAGGGGCGGGTTTGCAGCAGATGGGCTCGTAGCGAAATTCGCAGACGACTTCTGGACTACTCCATTGTGCAACCTGGGCCTAGACAGGGCATGGCTACTGTGGTTGCTAAATCTCGGAGCGGTTTGTGGTGTCTGCGGAAAAGCAGACCGGAGCCGGGGAGTGCCGTTCATGGCATGCTGCAATCATAGAGCATGCGGGAGCTGCACCCAGAAGGACTTTGGAGTTAGCTTCAGCATTATTGGCTGGTAGGATTCCGAGTATAGAGATACCTCCGTGTGTGGGTGTGGAAGATGCCTCGTCCTGTGAAGCCCGCGCACGCCCTGATGCAAGCCTAAGATCGAAAAGTTGAGGTAGGGGTCGACTGAAGAATTGGGTGGGTGAAGACGATGGGTGAACGTGATGTCAGGCAGGACGAAGAGAGATGTCGCTCACCTCGTAATATTTTTCCTCACCCGAAATAGAGATCAAGGAAATTGAGCGAAGGGATTGAGTTGCAGCGCAAGATACTGAGCCAGGGCGAGAGGTGAGCTTGAGTCGATGGAATGCCTTTGCGCTTGTTGCAGGGCTTGAAAGCAACAATGGGTTGGCGGTCAACAGCACAGTACGTAATTCGCTCCACGCCGCGGATATGTATTGTAACGGTAATAGTACACTAAGTTACATACCACGATCTGCCTGGGCATGAAGTCGTCACCGGTGCCCTCACTGCAACATAGATAGCAACAATGAATAGTTAACAAGCACTGCCCATTACACCTTCACCAAGAGATACACGGCAGTTAGCCGCATGATTCTGCATTATTGAGATTACAGTCATCTCTTTCTATCTTGGCTACCTGGAGAGAGCCTAATTGGCACGATCATTGTAAGTTGGCCGAGCTGTATGTACAGTACTGTGCAGAATCCATATTGAGGGTTTGTTCAGCCGCTCATGAATCCTATCTTCTGCGAAAGACAGCAGCGACCACCGCACCTGAGCTGTTATTCGATGTACTTCATGAGGCGAGACAGCTTCTCCATAGCAACTCAAGCAGCAACCAAGGGAACCGTTCTCATAGTTTAGCATTGTTGATCGATTGGCATTTTTCTCAAGTACAGTACGGCCTTTGGAGCAACCATGGCCCATTGCGGCCGGAGATCGCAATCTTCAGGCAAAGAATGCAGTGACCCTAGCCATGAGCTCTGTGTGCTTACCTCCCGGGTGGGAAAAGATGACTGGAATGGTTTCTGCGAACTAGAGTCCGAACCTGTAAGTTCTGGGACACAATTCTTCAGGGGTTATGCTGAACAACTTTTTTAGGCGCTCTTCAACGTCATGCTTCGCGAATTCGGCGTTAAGGGGGTGAAGGTCCAGGAGGTGATATCCTTGGATGAGGATATGATGGCGTTGCTAAAGTGAGAGTTCTGTGATCTATGCATTGCATAATCTACGGGCGGTTAACTAGTTTGTTAGCAAGCCGGTCTACGGATTGATATTCTTGTCCCGCTGGCGGGAGGACGACCCCGACAAACAAGAAGCAAGTTGTCCAGAAGGGCTCTGGTTCGCAAATCAGGTCTGCTTGTTCCAACCTGTTTGATGCCAGTAGCCGGATTTATCATCACTGACCATAGACATAGACGGCGAGTAACGCCTGTGCCACTGTTGCTCTTCTGAATATTGTCAACAATGTCGGAGGTATTGACCTCGGGGAGAATCTGCAACACTTCAAAGAATTCACTATGCCCTTCACGCCGGCGCTCCGAGGTGATGCAGTCAGTAACTATGGATTCATTAAACGGATACACAATTCGTTTGCGAGGTAACCATGTTTCGTAGCCTGCCTTCCTTACAATGGTAGTTCTAACATTTGGAAAAAGGCGAATGGATATCCTCAATGCTGATCACCAGCTCAAGTCCGAGACAACATCAAAGCGATCTCGCACCCAATGCGAGCAGGAGGAAGCCGGCATGGCTTTCCACTTCATCGCCTATGTCACTGCGTTAGGGAGAGTCTGGAAGTTCGACGGGTTGGAACGTCAACCGCAAGTGCTTGGTATGGTCTCTGTGGCCCATAGCAGCCCATTCTAACGGTATCCACGTATAGGATCTTGTCAACCCGACGATGACTGGTTAACCTTAGCCAAGCCCAGCATTCTCGCAAGAATGAAAGAATACGAAGAAGGTCAAATCGAGTTTTCGATGTTGAGCCTTGGTCAGGATCCGCTTCCTGGGCTGCTTGACAAATTAGCAATGAATGTGAAGTCTCTCGAAGTGATCAACCAACGCTTGACATCATCGGCTGATGCATTGCCATTCGACTCTATCAAACCCGGGAGTATCCTCTTGGGACCTGATGAGTCCTATACACTCTCCAGAGACATGATCGATCGAGCAATCATTCCTGCACCACAGGAGCAGGAGTATCGGACTTGTGCAGTGGCGGACCTCAAAACCCTATGGCACAAGCTCACTGGCAATCAGCGCACACTACAAGCGTCCATTCGGGAAGAACAACAGTCTAGGCAGGCTGATGATGACTACGCGGAAGGTCGGCGCTTTGACTATAGTCCTGCCATCCGCACATGGCTCCGACTCCTAGCCCGCAAGCAAGTTATTGAAAAGCTGTTGTGAACTCTCGGGAATCAAATCTTGAAGTTGATCATTTCAATTGCAGTGCGTACATTATCGTAGACCAAGCAAGGCTATATCCTTTTTGATTATATAAGAATAGTAGGCTATCATCGGAATTCTTAACAGTGACGTACGGACTGACCGCCGGAGGTTGCCCCCCGCCCTACTGGTATAAGAACGTCACCGCCTGGAGCCCAGTGCGCGCCCGCCGTCGGTGATTGTCCTAAGAAATCCCGGTACAAAGGGGGTTATTGTCATTAGACCGTGCTGGCATCGACTCTCTCTTTTTGTGTCCTCCTGGCTGGTCCTTTTGTGCTTGTCCTGCTCACAAGAAGCTCTTGCCCCTGGCTCTGCGGTCCTCTTCCTTTCTTCCAAATATTCTCGAGTTTTCGGGACCTGGTCGCAGCACTTTTGGGGGTGAGTCGACAAAGGGACAAACCAGCTTCCATTACCTCTTTCCCACTTGCTTTATACACGCCTACTTTCTCCCTCTCTGTCTAATCCTCGCCTACTTTCTCCCTCTCTGTCTAATCCTCGCCTATCGAATCACGCATATACTATAAACTTTCTCATTATATCTCGAATCTCGCAGTTCAGCCCGACCTCCTCTTCAACATGTCCGCCACATCCTCCCTTACATCTGAAAAGACACCAGATGATTCATCCAAGCTGAAGACGTTTTTGTCCATTCTCCGAAAGTATTCAGGCCATTTTAACCCCTAAATCTGATCGTACTGACTAGTGACCTCGTCCTCTAGGTTTGTCGGAGTGGCTGACATCGCCTCCGTCCGCTTCTCCTTGCCTGCACATCTCCTAGAGCCGACGCCCAACTTGGGTAGGTCGTTTTCCTAGCCAGACGGCTAATGCCCCCCTCGCGGCTGAGCACTCCATTAATTTATTACCAATGACTGCAGAGTACTGGAATTACTTGGATAGACCGGAGGCTTTTGCAAGGTCAGCGGATTGGGTTGCCCATCAATGGGGCTTGTTTTCTGACAGATCATGAACAGCATTGGGCAGTCGGATGATCCTCTGGGACGGATGCTTGAGGTTTTGAGGTTTTGGTTCACCAAGGACTTGGTATGTGTCATTCTCGGTGGCTGCTCAGCTTGGTGTCAAACCGTATCACTAAGTTTGATTACAGAAATACATCAAGGGCAAGCCCTGCAAACCCTATAATTCCACACTCGGAGAATTCTTCAGGGTGAGCCCGATCCGACGCAATTTGAGCTCTCGCTTTCATGTTAACCTAAAATCCTGCTCAGTGTACCTGGGACGTACAAAGTACACTGCCAGAAGTTACACCGGCTTCCACTTCTAGTATCATAGATACGACTCCCAGCTCGAAGGAAAGCGATGGCAACCCCGTCAAGGTATGCTACTTGACAGAGCAGACATCTCATCATCCTCCAGTATCAGCATTCTACATCGACTGTCCAGTGCGAGGAGTGACGGCTCGTGGTTTCGATCAAATTAGTGCCAAGTTTACAGGGACCAGCATACGAGTCACTCCGGGCCAACACAACTTGGGAATATTCATCAATATTCAGAGCAGGAACAACGAGGAGTATCAGTTGACTCATCCCGCTGCACATTTAGGTGGATTGTTAAGAGGAGCTCTGGCCGTTACAGTCTCGGATACGTGCTATATCACTTGCGCTCACACGCGCATCAAAGTCATTTTACAGTATCTGGAAGAGGGTTGGATTGGCCGTGCTCAGAACAGAGTTGAGGGCGTCATCTTTCGGTATGACCCTGACAGCGATACTATTACAAGGATCAAAGACGTACCTCAGGGGGATATCCTTGCCAAGATCAGCGGTTCGTGGCACGGGCAACTTTTCTACACTTTGAGTGGCTCGAACGATGCGAATTTATTAATTGACATCGCTCCTCTCTTTCCGGTTGCAAAGACCTTACCGCCTGATGAGGAGCAGCTCTCCAACGAATCTCGAAAGTTCTGGTCGGCGGTCACTGAGGCTATCTTGGACAAAAGATATAATCAGGCAACCAAGCTCAAGCAGGATATAGAGGAACGCCAGCGACAAAGGGCGGCTGAACGTCAGAAGATGAACGACACATGGCAGCCGCGGTTCTTCACTGGCGCCGTAACGCCTCTTGGTAAGCCTGAATTAACCGATGAAGGAATGAGGGTACTTGAAGGATTATATAATCATGATTACAAGTTACAAGAGGGTGAAACAAAAGGTGCATGATCGCTAGAACACCATGGACTGCCCAATGACAACAGTTTGGACAACTGGATACTGTGGATGCATTCGCCATACCGCTTCAAAATCGAAGCTGTGTTATATGTCGTATGTGTGCCTTCACGTTCTTTGGGAAACGAAGACAAAGCATAGGTAGGGCCTGTCCATCGATCGGGTTGTCCACTGGAGGGATGCTGAGTTCGGCGGGTGTCATATATATAGTATAAGATTATTCCAGGTAGATAGACATTTCTAATATCACCATGTGGCGCAGCGAGTGAAAGATGCTAGGGCTGGACCACAACTGTCTCCCGTGGAGCTCTTTTCGCTGAGCGAAGGTTAATAATTAAAACTCAATCTAATCTTCAGTGAGAACTGAAAGCGTAAAACCGTGCTAGATTGTTGCTGAGAATTTCGACACCGAGAAGACACTAAAATCAAACCCGTTCTGAAACCGAAAATAAGGGAAACGCCTTTCAAAGTACCTGGTTCCAAGATCGAGTGTACCTGACCATTTAGAACTCCATCCGAACCGGACCGATTACATGGGAGAACAATCCAAGAATGAGGAAGAGAGGATGGAAAAATGAAGCGGCATCGGGGCGGCATCGCTGCGAAAGATAGCACAGGCATCTCAGGCATTTGCAGTAACAACCTTATTGAAGCCTGCAGTCACTGTCCTGGTAATGTCCTCATTCTTGTGGGGAAGTAGAGACAGGGCATAAGCAACGTCGTTCCATTGGCGTTCAGTCTCGCATCTTGGCAGTCGAGCAGCTAGTTTCTCGGCAAGTTGTCGTGCATGTTTCTCCTGGTTCACGAGGCAGTATTAGCATTTTTCCACGGCGAAGTGATGAAAAAGAGACATGATGCTTGGAGCTGTACCTTTTCGACGAAACCAACCAGGAATTTAACGATGCGTTTCAATGAAGTCTCCTCCAGGTTGCGTTCCGCGCTCAGCAGGCTGAACATGTCCACAAAGTGATTATAAACAGCGTTGTCCTTGGTGGCCAATTCCGTGAAGAACATACGTGCCAAGTCGGCAATTCTCTTATCCTCATCTTCGAGGCACTTGGCCATTTCGCCCAACTGCCCCTTGACTTTGACCTGGCCCGCCAAGATCAGGAACGTGAGAGTCATGAGGCACGTGCGCTTTACCGAGACATCGTCGTCATTCAAGCGACGATAGAGAAAATCAGTGTTCTCATCAATCAGGTGATTGAAACAGACTGCCATGTCTCCAAGAGCGATAACGACATTACTGCGAACTATGGGGTCATCTGAACGCTCCATAATGGTGATTAAAAGTGGGAGATTTTTCTCGCAGTACTCCGCCGAAACACACATGAGCTTAGCCATGCAAAGAGTTGCCGCTGCTTGAAGGTCTCGGTCAGAATATATGTTGCTGTTGGCGCAGATCTCCGTGACCAAGGGGCCGAAATTGGAAAGCAGCGACTTATCCCCGTAGAGCAACTCCCTCTCACGAATATGAGCCATGGCGTCTGTGAAGTCGTCCTCGGTTGTCCCGCCGATAAGATCCAATTCATCCTCCCCCTCTTTGGAATCTTTGTGTACTGATGGTTGCGCAGGTTTGTTCTTTTCCTGTTCTGCCTTGCGGCGCTTAAAGTCAAGCTCACACAATTCCAGGTGAACGATTTGCTTGATCGCGATATGGCCGACCACAAAGAGCAGCTGTGACAAACCGGCAGGGGATGTCTTTGGCCCTGCTGCTTGGCTCTCGGTGGGAGTGATGCCAAGCTGTTGTTCCTGTCCTTCACCAGGTGCTTGAGAACAAGACCTTTGAGCATGAGTCTGGAAGACAAATCTAGTCTTCCGTTTGAGAATGTCAGAACATAGCACATCTGGATGCTTCGATAGTGTATAGATGGCGCTAATAGCTTGCTCCGCCACTCCGTACCACTCTTTGCTCATTGATACAATCTCTATGATAGCCGCGAGGTTGGAAAGGACTGGATGATCATTCGCCAACTTAGGTATGCCAATATCTTTTGACTTTGCCTGACGGCCTGGCACCATCCGACGTAGAGCAGTGCATGTATATTTCGCAAGCACAAGGTCGGATCTTCCGAAATTTCCAAGACCAATCCGTAGCATCGTCTCGAGCTCCTTAATGACAACCTCAGGGTCCGCCAAAGCCAGCATGCCAAGGACAATGATGGCGCCTCGACGTTGTGTCTTCGAGATTTCCTTCTTTTGCACGCCGTATACTTGCCACAACTTCGAAATGACGACTTCAGGTATGTGGCCTGCCTTCATCATGGTGCTCAATAACTGTTCTAGGCAAGTGAGCTCAGCAGGTGTTGCGCCAAAGGTCAAGCTGATCATATTCCGTGCAATGTAATTTGCAGCATCATTTGGACTGAACGAGTCCGGTGCTTCGAAGAAAAGCCCCTTGTAGCAGTCGATCAGGTGGGTTTGGACTCCCTTGCCTTCATCACTGTTACCTTTTGTCCAGATAAGTCGCAGCATTCGGCGAATCCCACTACGGGAAGTCTCAACCTTGTAGGCATCAAGTACGACGAAGAAGTCCATGGCTTCAATAGCCTCACTTTTGTTCCTTGACGATAGGAGCTGAGCAACTGTAGCGGAGGCCACGTGAAGGACTTCAATGAAGCGGATGGCCTCGTTGTAATATTTTCTTGTTAACTGGAGTCGTGTGAGCAGTTCTGACGTTGCTGCCTGTTCCGCGGCATGTTTGATTGCTGCTGCTTTCTCTTCCTCAGTCAGACGTGTTGTTTTGGCTGGAGACTCTTCTGGCAATTGAGTTGCATCATCCAATAATACACTATCAACATGGGATGCATCACCACCTTCAAAGCCCTGTGTTTCAGGGGGTCTCAGCGCATTCAGCTCAGCATCTACTCCATCGAGCCGTGCTGCCCACTCTTTAAGTGAAAGCTGCCCTCCATGCATGACACCGAATGGATGGGTTGAGACCAATTTGGCGAGTAGTTTAATAGCGTTCCGTCGTACATTGCTGCTTTTGTCTTCCAGACTTCTCGCCGCCAGCTCTGCAACGGCATGCCGTCTTTTCGGAAATTTTTGTTCCAAATCGCAAATTCTCATATATACCTGAATGGCCCGGCATCTGCAGTAAGGATTAATGTCAAGAAAGCGTTCCTCTAGAACGTCGAAGAAAGCGTTTATCTGGGTTTTGTAATTATCGCCCCGTTCTTCTTGCCGACTGAGGTCGGATATCAGGTTTCCGCAGACTTCAATCACTGCGCATCTCAAGGTGTAGGCCTACATAGTAACATGAAAGTGTTAGAAAATTAGCGTCCTCGTCGGGTTGATGAGAGGCCGAACCTCGCTGTCTAGCTGTTTAGCTAAGAGAGTCATCTGCTTGATGATCAACCGAGGTGCTAGCTCTGAGAGTTTGATGATGAAAGAGGAGACAGATTTCGGTCCGCGGGTGTCATTGGAATTGAACTCTTTGTTCCCAAGCTCCCTAGCTTCCGTCAGTAAATGCACAAGATGGGCAAGACAGCGAAACATCTACTTCAATATCTCATCTGAGAGTTGGGGGTAGTCATATTGTTCCGCGAGGATGTGCAAGAATTCTGCCATCGGTTCGGACAAGTGCTCAAAATATGTCAGGCTTTGTACAATAGATGTCTGGGCCCCTAGACGTTCGTATTAGCGGTAGCTATGAGCTTCAAGTCGAAAAGCCCACCAAATGCATGTCCGTGGTGTTTCACCGCGATGCAGAGGACCTTGAAGGCATGCATCCGAATGCTCATGCTCTTAACGCGCTGCTCACTCTCCAGGATCAGATAGATTGAGCGGGTGAACAGGTTGATGAACGTATCGCGGTCTGAAGTTGTCAAGAAAATCCTGCCCAGTTTCAGTTTCATCACTTTGCACATGGTTTCCATTGCAGCTTGAATCTGTGCTGTCCAGTCCCAATTTCCATCCTTGGTATTGGCCTTAGATTTGGTAGATTTGCCTGCGCCTCTCCTGGCAGGAGCAGCCTCCGTTGGCTTTTCAGCGGCTTTGAGCTCAACAGCCGAAAAGGCCCACTGCAGTAGGAACCCGTACATCTCCAATAAGGTTTTATGCTGCTGGATTGTGTCCTGCTCGTCAGATTCGAGATCGCCATGGATAATATCTGCTTCTACCGAGAGGCCAGAAACGACAAGATCGAGGAGTTTGCTTAGAGTTCGGGTGGGGAAAAAGACGGAGTATCTATGGGAATATAAAGGATCAGGTCCAGACCCATGGGCAATGACAACTTTGAGATGGGGAGGGAAGGTGTTGGCCCGGACGTTCAGGACTTACTTCAATAGGAATTGCAATGAATCATAGAAAGATCCCCTAGCGAGGCCTTCCGGATGCTCAGCAATGGCATCCACGATCGGATTAAGAACATTGTCGATAACGACGGGCGACAATTGATCTGGGTCGGTTTCGCAGTCGAGCAGGTCGGGATCGGCATCGAGCGTAGGCACGGAGGCGGGATCGCTTAAATAAAATTTAAGCGAGTCATTAATGTCGAACTGAATGCGATATTCCATATTGAGTGACGAGCGAGGGAGGTCCTCGCAGGACACGCGACTTCAGTGGACAAAAGAGGGCAAGGTGAATGAGAAATCCTTATTGCGAAGAATGGTGATACTTCAGGTGGGGAAATGGAAGGACGGGAGAGAGGGGGGGGGTGGAAAGAGGAAAGGCGAGCCCGAGAAACCAGGCGGCGACAGGCGGGCGTGAATCCGTAGTTTGTTTGTATTTTTCCCATTTGGGGGTGTTGATAAGGGCACGGGCACACACTGTACTGAATGGGGGCTTCCAACGCGATGTGACACGTACCATTTTTGCCCCTTTGGGTAGGCGGTATGGTACGATCGTGAAACTGGGCACACTTCTCCCGTTACAAGTACTGTACGTATAAACAAACAACTCACCATACCGGAACGGGTGATTATTCTGTACCGCTGAGACGGTGGATTGAGCAGCCCTGATGGAGCATCTCGGACCAAACCCTCCCCCCCCTCCGATCTCTGACTACTGGTAAGTACAGTACTAATCCGCGACGAAACATAGACCAATCCTCAACCCGAGAAGCTGTGTGCTCTTTCGTCATCACTTATCTCTTTCCCGGTGTTGAACCTGCTTGCATGCTGGCATCATATACCGACTAAGCCTTGGCCCAGACTTCGCAGTCGCGCCAACTATTGCCGCGCGCGCTTTGGTGCAATGTCCGCCTTACACGCAGCGCCGACTGAATTTTTTGGTGTTCAGCGGCCAGAACCATCTGGCTCAGTCTACGATTATGAACACCGGGATGGGATCGTGACAAATAGCGAGTCGTCCCTGGAGAATATGCCAGATGAGAATGGCTTGGAAGAATTTGACCCCCATGATGAGGAAGACGTTGACGATTCCGTAAAAGAGGATATGAAGCGATTGGAAGACACATTCCCAGGGATATCTGATCGCTTTCGGCTGGTCAATCGAATAGGTGAAGGTATGGTGTGAATTAACTGGCTATCCTACGATGTTTCCGGTGGTGTCTGAGAACCCTCTGACTCGGTACGAACCTCAACTAGGGACGTTTTCGACTGTCTACAAAGCGGAGGATCTTCTTTACGACCACTATCAAAATGACTGGGACACATTTCAGCACATCCGAGATGACAACTTGACCAACCTTCCAACGAAGCGACGCCGGGTCGAAGGAGAAAGCAATCGCATATCCTCTGTGAAGCGACGAAGACCGCGATACGTTGCTTTGAAGAAGATTTATGTCACAAGCAGTCCGCTACGCATTCAGAACGAACTTGAATTACTCCATGATCTTCGGGGTTGCCGATCAGTATGTCCATTAATCACTGCGTTCCGCTATCAGGATCAAGTCGTAGCAGTCTTGCCCTTCTTTCCGCACACCGATTTCCGTATCCAATATCGTACATTCATGGTTGCCGACATGCGACATTACTTCCGATCCCTGTTCACCGCTTTACATTCAGTCCACAAGCATAACATTCTCCATCGTGACATAAAGCCGACGTAAGAACTTGCGTTCCGATGCCCAGCCCCATTGCCTTGGACCTTTCGGTGTTTTGATAAGGTACTGATCATCACGTTTTCAGTAACTTTCTTTACAATCCGGAACTCCGCGAGGGTGTACTAGTGGACTTCGGTCTTGCAGAAGTAAGTACAGGCGCCCTCACAGTCGCTCATGGCACGTGCTTCAATTGCTGATGCACTTTCGCAGCGCGAGGGCTCGGAGTACACTGGTACCTGCTTGTGTGCGAATTCTAGCCAGATACGTCGCAGTCGATTCTTTCAGAGCTATTACTATACTAATTGCGCCTCGTCTCTGAATAATACATCTGTGGGGTACCCAAAGAACGACTCCCGGCCTTCGAGGCGCGCCAATCGAGCAGGAACCAGGGGTTTCCGCGCACCTGAAGTTCTTTTCAAATGCACTTCACAAACTACCAAAATTGATATGTGGTCAGCTGGCGTCATTCTTTTGACGTTACTCGGTCGTCGATTTCCATTTTTCAACTCAGCTGATGATGTCGACGCTATGATCGAGATGGCAAGCATCTTTGGCACACGCCGCATGAAAATTGCGGCAGCCATGCATGGGCAGATTTTCGAAACCAACATCCCAACTATAGGAGAAAAGGGTTATAGCTGGGAGAAGCTGGTGAAATGGGCGAGTTGCGTGGAGGAGCTCACTGAGAGTGAAAAACAAGCCACCCGTCTCTTGGCTGGACTCATGGAGCTGGACCCTAACAAGCGTTTCAGTGCTAAAGAGGCCTTGCAACACGAGTTCTTCACTGATCCCATAGATCACGACGTGGAGTGGGGTGGAAATCCGGATGATAGTGGAGATACCGGCGAGGAGGGTTATAGGGATGATGATGAGGCAGATGATGCAGCAGATGAGGTAGCAATGATATGATATCCTCCAAGGGAGGAGGGGCAGATGTACGGTAACGGCAATGAATTTTCATGAAGCACCGGCGCTCCACCACAAAGAGATCACCAGCTACCGGGCCACTCAGATTTCCCATAAACCTTTGGAGTCCGTAATCAGAATCAGAATGAGCAATTCGGGGGGAAACAGGAATGACAAGAGGCGAAAACAACCCCACGACTCGTGACAACTAACTCCGGACAACGCTTAAAAGAGTTCGAGGTCTGAAGCAAACGATCTCAAGGGTGGTAGGGTGTCTACTTGCCCACAAATGACGAGTAAGGGGAAGTCATGAGAATAGGTGCCAAGCTACTTTGAATCTAAGTTTCAGCGAAGCATACGTAAGTCGATACTTGGCGAGGATTCTCGTCGCTTTCAGTCAGCCTCTCCGAAATCGACATGCCCAGTCTGTTCTGCATGCTGTGTAGCGCCTCTTTCGCCCACAAAAGTTCCACCGCACGTATTGCAGCGCAGACGAAACCCGGCAGTATCCGTGTAATAATGCCGCTCTTGCAGAACCTTGCACAAGGCCAGGGACTTTTTCAGGACCAAAGGGTCGTTGGCGTCGAAAACTTTGGTATCGAAATCGGCGGGGACGTCTGCATGGCTATACGGCGGACTTGAAGGCGACAGGGCAATAGTATCGTAGTGGATGCCCGAATAGACCACGATGCACCGCATTGAGGGACCCTCGTTAAACGAATCGACCCGCAGGGTTTGCACATCGATCGAGCAAATCTCAATGTCAAAATATTTACTCAATATGCTGAGCTCGATGCCCCCGCCCCAAGAGTCCTCATTCTGGATCCATTGACAGTAGTCGTCCGGCTTTTTTTCCAGCACCGCCTCGGTATATAGGTCCGGGTTTGCCTGTATAGTCTGCGCAACAACAGAACGTAACTCAGTCATCACATCCACCCCAGCCATGGTCGCGCTACTGATGGCGCGGAATAGGCACGAGTTATCGTCAGGCATGATCCGGAGGACGAAGGTACCATGATGTTCCGGTGATGGAATCTCCGGCGGGTCATCGGAGCCCTCATTCGGAGTCTTGTCAGCGAGCAGCCCGTTCAACGGTTGTTGCCGATCAGTAGTAGTCTTGTGTTGATCGCGGCTCGTGTCAGAGGGGAGGCTGCCTTCTTTCCTCGTGACAATTAACTGTTCCCCATTCAGAGTCATCCCCAGGTCGGATAGTTTCTGGTTAGGTGGGAAGCCCTCTAACGAAAGAGGCTTGATTTGTGGATAGCCATATTTCACGTCGTAGTCTGATAGTCCGGTTGACTCTGTGATTTGTCTGCGGAGTACATCGACATTTGCTTCGTCATCTAGAGAAACGGTCGACTGTCCAGTCGGACCGCGTATTCGGATTCTCATTGTGGCTCGAAGCGAAGACAGAAGAACAAGTATGTGTATATCTAGATGGCATTTGACCACTAGCTGGGCAAAGTAGTCTTGTAGCACTAGTCTGAGTTGATCAGATGTTGCTATGAGTTTTATGGATAAGCATTTATATAAGTAGGTTGAGGTAGGCCAGGTAACTTATCCCTGGTTGACTGGAAGGTGGGGCATGGCTGGCGGGTGCGCATCTGCTGGAGTTGCAAGTTGCACGATCAAACTCGGCCCTAGGGTTTTTTTCTATCACTTGAGCGCTAGTCAACAGTATACTTGATTTCGATTCAACCGCAAAGCTTTCTTGCTGGGCGTATGCAGGAGGACTTGGGCAATTTCAAGAGGAGATGCCAGCCATGAAGCCTGAACTTCCAGCTACCAATTAAGCAGCGCGGAGGCTTGGAGCCAAAATTGTGCAGCCAAAGCCTAAACTGTATCAGTACTCTTATTTGGTTTGAGAGGTAGACTACAGTACAACCAACGGGAGGCAAGGATACAAGATAATCCATTAATCGATCGGATTTCCCCCCAGATTTCCTAGAGGGCAGGATATATCGCTCGCTGGTTATGTGTTTTGATCAGTTTGCATACTTGTGAAACGGTATCTTACTATAGGGGACAGTGTCGTTCTATCCTTCACAGCCGTATTACAGTATTTAAGCTGTTATGATACACACTGGCTGACTCAGCATAGTTGGTGAATGAATCTCGCCCTTCCTGCTTCTTTGCACACTCTCTCCTTGTTCTATGTCGCATCCTCTTCATATCACCCTTATTTGCTGAATCCAAAAAAACCCCCTTTTTCACGCTGGTGGTAGTATATTCCATTCGGCTTGGTCCTGACTTGCGGTTCTTCTCTCCGTGGCCTCGGCTATCTCGAAAGATGGAGCCAAACATCTCCGAGCCGTCGCAAGCGCAACCTGCTGCTGAGGAGCCGGTGAAGTCCATCGAAGGCGATGGCAAACGCGATGGCTCGGTCGCAACTAGCACTGTTTCTGACGAACAATTGAGATCTATGATGGATGTTGTCATGGCGATTTATGAATTCAGAGAAGAGGAGTGAGTCCGGTCTTCTTGTCACAGCTTTATTCCACCTTTTGTGCGCTGTGTATCGCATATTATCCCCCAGCATTCCAGCTAGCTAACTGACTAATTCACAATCAACGCAGTGGCCATGATCCGTCCAAGTTGTTCCAACGCAGCGTCAATAAACGCCTTGTTCCTGACTATTATGACATTATTAAGGAGCCGATGGCACTCAGCATTCTGAAGCAGAAGATCAACAAACGTGAATATAAGGGATTCGCTGACTTTGTGCGCGACTGCGCACTGGTATGTAGTACTATTGTTACCTTGTGATTCATGCATCAATCCTGTGCCTCTTCCACGAGGAGTAATGTCTGGCGGGAACTGACATGGCTTTGGCACTAGATCCCCCATAATGCACAGACTTATAACCGCCCTAAGTCTCAGGCTTACGAAGATGCTCTCGTCATCAAGGATGTCTTCGTTGCCGAGTTTGAGAAGTTGGTGAAACAAGGCATTATTTCTGCAGAGGATGCCGAACTCCCCGACCTCGGGGAGATACCTGAAGCAGACCCTCTCCCCGAAGAGGATGAGGAGGAAGATGATGACGATGACGATGACGACGAGGAAGAGGATTCTGACGAAGAAAGTCGGCGCAAAAAGAAAAGGGGACCTCGTGCAGGCAGCAAACGTGATACGGGGAAAGATGATGGCCAAAAGTCCAATGAGCCGGAAGTAAGGAAGAAGAGAGGCAGACCACCGCGTGTCGATACCCCTATGGAGGCAAGGATCAAAGCTGTTCTAAAGGGCATCCGAAAGCTAAAAGGGCCTAACAATCAACTCAAAGTGCGACATTTCGAACGCTTACCCGACAAGGCCATGTATCCGGATTATTATGTTGAAACCAAGGAACCGATTGCCATCGATATCATCAAGCGCAAGTCGAAAAGAAAGAAATACAATTCGGTAGACCATTTCATGAGAGACATGGAACTCATGTTCAACAACGCGAAGGCCTATAATCAACCTGACAGTCAGATCTACAAGGATGCCGTTGATTTGCAATTGGAAGCACGAAAGCTTGCCGACCTAGAGAAGAAGAAACCAGACAGCGAGTACCTGATGGAGGATGGACGTCTGCCGTTGCCGGAAGGAATTCTTCACAAGTCGGAATTATGGAGGGTCGGCGATTGGGTCCATATCCAGAACCTTAATGACGTGACGAAGCCTATTGTGGCGCAAATATATCGCACATGGCAGGATTCAGAGGGAGAGAAATGGGTCAATGCTTGTTGGTACTATCGCCCCGAACAAACGGTCCATCATGTGGAGAAGCACTTCTACCCCAACGAGGTGGTGAAAACAGGACAATACCGCGATCATCGGGTTGAAGAGATTGTCGATAGATGCTTTGTCATGTTCTTCACCCGTTACAATCGCGGACGGCCTCGAGGCCTACCTCCCAACAAAGATGTCTACGTTTGCGAAGCCCGCTACAATGAAGAGAAGCATAAACTGAACAAGATCAAGACTTGGGCTAGTTGTCTCCCTGATGAGGTCAGGGAAAAGGACTACGAGATGGACTTGTTCGAAGCTCCCCGACGGATCAAAAAGATCCCAAGCCCTATCAAACACTTGCTCAGGACTGATGCAACGGAAACCGACGATCTTCCAAAGCCAACATGGGGAGCTGAGAATGCACCGCCTGTTGTTGGCGCGGTTCATCGCCGCCCGCGTGATGAGAACGTAGGGCCCCTCCAAACATCTCACTTGGCGTCAATTGTGAGGGAAAAAACTACTGACCCTATTATCTTGATCCTAGGAATCACCACCTCCGGAGCCCACGCCTTCTCCACCCCCGTCATTACCTCAGCCAGCTTTGCCCTCAGCTCCACTTCGGCAGTCATCGATTAGCCAAATCCCTCCACGGTCCAGTGTAGAGAATCAAGGCACCGGTGCCGCGGCGAGCGCATTGCCTGCTACGGCCCGCTCGCCAGCTGTAGCCGTACCTCCAACTCAGAGCTCGCCAGCCCCGGGCCCTCCGATGGCTTTTTCTCAGCCCCAAATTCCTCCGACTCAGCCTTCTCAGCATGGGTTACCGAGAAGCTCCAGCGGGTTCGTGCCGCAGACCCCACACCCTAGCGCCTACCAAGCTCCGGCTGTGTCCCATCATTTCTCGGCCGCCCAGTCAACCCCTTACATGCCGTATCATGGAAACCGTCTACATGGATCTACGGTGACAACCTTTAATCCTAATGCACCTCGTCCCATCGAAGTCTTCCATCTGAGTGATACTGCAAACGCCGCCATACCCGCAAATGTCCGCGAACAGTTCCACTGTGATGACCAAGGTCATATCCTCTTCTTCTCGACCCCACCTCTAGACATCATTTCATCTTATCAGCAGAAACTGGGACATTCTCTCAAGTATCTGGCCGCAAAGGAGGAGCGGCGCAGACTAGTGGAGACCAAGAAACGCAAAGGGACGCAGGATCAAGCGGGACAGGCATTAATTGTCAAGCGCCCCCGAGCAGATGAGAAAGCTGCTCTTGAAACTCAAGTGGAGATGCTCACAGTCAAGGCTTGGGACACCATGACAAGTCAAATTGTGGCAGGCACGGACAAGCTCTATGAAATTTTGTATCAAAATGAAGGAGAAAGTGTCAGGCGAGCAGATATCAAGGCACACGAACAGCGGAGAATAGCCGATCGAGTCTCGCACGAGAAGACAGCGCATATCCAATCTCACTCACAGAACGCACTGTTTGTTAGCCTTAAAGGTAGTGCCATGTATATGTCTGACGTTGACACGAAAAGCTGACGAAAAGAAACGCTCCCTTATGAGCCACTGTTGACTACTCGGCATACATTCGGAATGGTGGACCGAAAACAAACCAAAGTGTTCTTGTCGAGAATTGTGGCTAGATAGGCGAATTTCTGAATTGGGCGTTGATAAGTATTATGAACTATTGATGTATACGTTCATAAGTCTATTCAATTATGACCAGGGTCGTCATGGTTATGCCTACCTCGTCCCAAATAGTGATTGTATAGTAAAATTATGTCTGCTTCTTCCACACCCATCCCCACCCCCCTTTGCTACATCAACAACTCATGGCATCTCGACAGAACCAATTCCACTGGAGAAAACAGCAGAAGGGACAGACAGATGTCGTACGTTTATCGATCACCCACAATTTCATACTTACGTGGTTGAAATTTCAGCATTGGATTCGCAAGCAAAGGAACAAACGAGAAGAATTATCAAAATGATAATAGAAAACACAAACCTATAAACATGGCAAACGAGCTAGGAGCGTAACCCCCAACACCATATTGACTGTTGGCTGCAGGCTAGTAGACTAGAATTAGAAGACAAGCACAGATCGTGAGAGACAAGCATGCTTCGAAGAGGAAAATGATATATGCCAGTAGAATGTACACTAGGTGAAGAGAATGATGATAATGCTGCTGCCCCGAAAGATCGCCCAATGAACTTTGTGCATATTGCATTTTGTCGGGATTCAGAAGTGCCATGTAATGTAGTGATATGGCGTAATGAACGATGGGAGAGACCAAAAAGGCCAGGATAGAGAAGAATGATATGGGGAAAGATCAAGCGGGGAGTCACAAGCAGAATTGGGAACAACCTGACCTCGTTACAAAACATCCCTTGTCTAACAGATCATATAATGCGGCGCAATGGCGAATATTAGAGGCAGATGCAGTATAACTCCAGAAAAAATTCAACAGTTCTATGAAAAATTCCCTCCAACATTTCTGTGTAGTCTTGAATGACGTCATAAATGGACCGGGGTATGAACTGGTACCCACCTGTGATGCTAGCTTGTTCTTCTGTGCGAAAAGGCTTGCTGAATTCAGGGTTCCAAATACGAGTTCGATTCCATTCTTTCCACGGAAGGATTGATGGTGCATAGAATCGATTATTAGGCATCGGCAGTAGATTGGACTGCGATAATGTTTCAGCGAGTTAAGGCTGGAACTCTGGGTTGTTCGTGGAAGTCGGCTCATCGTCATTTGAATCCGCCTTGTGAGAATCCCAAGAACTGCTGTTTCGCTTGTTGTTCTCTTCTTCTTCCATGGAAAAAACCAGGTCACTTTGCTCTTCGTCAATCTTGCTGGTACTGACCGGCGATGAGATGGTACGATCCAGACGGCTGCTAGGGCCTGTAGATGCCGAATGGCGAGGGGGACCGGGGTGTAGAGACATGCCACTGAGCTGTTGAGAGATCATGGACATCGACGGTTGGCGAGGGGCACTCGACACGAACGGAGAGATGTCTCCAGAGATCTGCCGGCTGCCGATTGGGCCCAGGCTCGGGCTGGTGCCTAGATTCAACGAAGACTCCCGCAAAGGCGAGCCAATGTGTGTCAGAGACGTACTACCATGGGCGTCTTCCTCTCGCTTCTGCCGCTGCTTGGCAAACAAAGCCCCGAATCGGGATGGGCTGGAAGCCAAGGGAGAGCCCACTTTGGAGAAACTGGTGCCAGTCATGCCCAGTCCGCTGAGCTCGCGATGGCTCGAACTCAGATCATGATCGGTGCGCGAGAGGCGCCGAAGTCGCTCCTGTGGGGTAAGAACATCGTCGTGTAAGTTGATCGGCAGGTAGTCTTCTTCCATTGGGAAATTGCTATCGTCCCAGTCATCCAGAGCGGTGGGTCGTGGCACACTTGCCGAGAGCATTCGTGTCTTGATGGGGCGTTGGGAATGAAGGAAGCGGGGGCCCATTCCATCTTCTGGTAGGGTAGGGGGCGATGACCCAATGAAAGATGATTTCCTGAGATCGGATCCGTAAGCCGTGTCCCGAAGGGTTCGAAGGGCATCTGATGGTGCGCCCATTCGTTGTGCTGGAGGCGACAGTTCTAACCCGAATTTCGACGGCATGGAAGCCGCAACCGGGCCATACCGAGCCGCGTGCGAAATGCCTTGGCTGTCAAACGACGCGGGAAGGGGAGCATCCAGTGCAGTCAGATGGCGGTGATTTGGTGACATGGGATATCGTACATCGTCGACAGGCGACCCGTACTTGGAATTAGTGTCGGATGTCAGTCCAGTATCGATAGTAGGAATCGCATCATAGGGCAACGGTTGTGGTGGTGGTGACTGGGGCGGAAGCTGAGGGGCATATCTTGGGTCATGGCCGTTCATCCGCTGCTGCGACAAAACAGAGTTGGTCAAGGCAGAATCCTGGTTCACGTAGGCTTGCGGATTAACACGACCACCCAAATTTAGGTGACCACCACCCAGTCCCATTCCTGGGTTGGGGCGGTTGACACGTCGGCCGTCGGGCAGAATATGCGCCAGCGCACACTTCGCTCCGAATTTGCAGTTACCCTATATCCAAAGCACAAGCTGTCAGCCGTGGGAGGAAATTCTGGAACACACAAGGCTCATGATAGGCGGCCTAGCTATCTAATACCTTGGTGAAATATTTACAAGGCGCATAGTCTATTGCTGCATCAGTGGAGTGAAGGAAGGGACATGCAGGCCCGGCCTGGCAAGCACCCTGGCGGAAGAATTTGCAAGGCACATGCTTGGTATCTGAGTAGGGACAGTTGTAAAAGCATTAGCGATTGATCATGCATGGGGGGGGGAAGTGTAATGAAATTGATGACAGAGAAGCACAAGTGAAAGGCAACAAGCCGAATGCAATGCCGTCAATTATGCCATATATGAAGAAGTGCGGGGAGGCAAAGGGAGCAGATCGATTTGCGGGGCTGGGAACGAGACATATATGACTTACTGCTTTGATTGGGAGGACTGCGGGCAGCCATGTCGAAGCCGGAGGGATTGCGGGAATGACCGTTCTGGAGTGATTGAGGACCGGAGGGGACCGGGAGAGGCGCGCGACCTTTCATGCCACTCGAAAAGTGATTTGAGGTGCGAGTCGAAGAGTGGGAAACCAGAACGACGGCGGCAGTGAAAGAAGGACAGATAGAGGAGGAAGAGGGGGCGAAGGGGGAGGAGGAAGCGGTGGTGGTAGGGTGAATTGGAGTGGTGGTGATAGTGGTGTTGGTGGTGGTGGTGGTGGTGGTGGTGGTGGTGGTGTTGGAAGGAGGGGAAGAAGGTTGAATAGGCGGAGAAGGGCTGCGGGATGCCGACAGCTGCATCGCCAAGGTGGGCAAAGGTGATGGCAGCGCAGCAACACACGCAAGGAGATCCGAAAATCCGCCGGAGGATTATCGGACAAAGATAGGAAATTGGTGAGGGAAGGGTGGTGGAAACGACTAGGGAAGGAAGGAAAAAACAACTAGGTTGAACGGTCCTACAGTACTCGCTCGTACTTCAGTCTGAGCGAGCGGATGAAGTCCATCCTCGGGATGATCAAAGGAGGGGGAAATCCGTGGGCGGTGAGCCGCCGAAAAAAAAAAAAAAAAAAAAGGTGCAATTGCAATAACTTACTGGTAACTATTAGATAGAGAGTACTTCGTAGACTACTAGTGTTGACGACTCGTACAGCATGTATGTACAGTATGGTATACTTCATACAGTACAAGAAATAGGGAAACCCTTAGAAAAGCGGGCAAATGAATCTACCAGACACAATACCAGATTGGACTTAGTACTGTACGAGTACCATATAATAATTATATATCACGGGAATCTCCTCTTCCTCTTCCTCCTCTTTCTCTTCTTCTTCTTAATGGATGCAGGTTCTCCTTAAGTAGCCTGGCCTATACTTGCCTGTCGGTGCTACAGACAAAATACAGTCAAGAATCCAACATGTTCAGATGACTTCAATATATTATACTGACTAATGAACGTCCTTCAGAATTAGCGGAGACTCAAACTTACAAGGTACTGTACATATCAAGTTATCGAAAAACAAAACGATACTGATAGAGTGCAGTATTAAGCTGCGTCTCCCCCACGAACCCGTAAGTCAGTTTGCACACATGCGCTTTCTCAAGACCAGGGATCGACCGCCGCCGATCAGAGACCAATCCCTTCCACCCTGCCTCTTCACTGACTTTCTTCACGAGCTCGAGTGATCAAGTGATCGGCGTAACGGGGGCCCTTCTAATCCTAGAGATTCCTGCGTAGTCACTAATTAGAACCATTCAAGGCTGGAAATGAGACCATGATCCCCCATACCCAGAGCTCTTCCCAAGCTGTGTCGCCTGGCAACGCATCCAAGCACCTTCGCCATAGGTCACGGCAGATCCGAGCACGACTGCTAGCGTGCTTTTTCCAGCGCTTCCAATCTTCTTCGGCACGTGCTCTTGTCATATGCACGGGCACGGGCATCGAAGCATTCCCCTCTATTGTGAGCCAGATTGTCCGGGTTGTTGCTTGATCTCGACCAAGTTGATCCACATCTCGACGAAGCTCAGACAGTAAAGGTTTCGCATGGAGGGCTGCGAGCTCCATGCGTACCTTTTTCTTGTGGATCTGAAGACTGGAAAGCTTGCCCTGAGCTTTCTCAATGTGCTCATCCAGGGTTACGAAGGTTTCCGATGTGACCTCGTTGGGAGCTTCTTGTAAAGCGTGATACACGACTTGTTTCCCTATAGATGAAGAGGGCCCTCAAGTTCAGTGCTGTTCAAAACTCATCGACACGAGATCAAGATGATCTAACTTACCCGCTGTCTGTCCTCCAATCTGCTTGTCGTGCCACAAGTCTCGTAATGCTCTGGCGGCATACGCTGTGGAAGATGCCATGGCGCGAGAAATGAGCTCAACTACACCCAACAGAATCCAGTTTAGGACTTACCCTTGGTAACCGCTGTGTGTAGGTTGGCTGATATCTCGATAGCCTGCCTCATTTCAGCAGGAGCAGGTCTGGCCACTTCGGGATTAGTGTTCCCATCTACTAACATACCGAATACGGGCGACTGTGTCCATGAATCACAAGTAACAGTTAGCTGTTACTTTGCAAAGCGATAAGAGCAGATGTGTACTGGGAATGACTGGCCGTACTTCTGTCTCTCTAGACAATGTGTCAGAGGCCGAGGGAGAAACAAGACACTGAGGCTGGGGTGAATACGCACGAAGGTAATCAAGAATGACCTCAGCGCCGTCGTTAGTAGCTCCTCCCACGAAAGATATTAGCCACCCGTGCCTCTCGCACGATGACCATTTTCTCACCTTCGCGGCGAATAGCCTTAGGACAATTTGCTTTGTTCTGCGGCATGACTCTGGTGCACCGGTTGAGCTACCGATGCAGCATGGCACACACCGAGCTG